TCATAGATAGGGTCAGTGGACTCTAGCAAAGGACCCTTAGTAAGAAAAAGTCCTGTGGTCCCTAAGATTCTTGCCCATGGCTAATCAGTGGAACGTGTTAGTATGTTACCTTTGCTGACAACAGAAGATTAAGATTGTATGTGCAATTGAGATTGAATCAAGCTGACCTTGTTGAATTTACTGGATGGATAACATTAAATGATACTGCCCTGCTGACCAGAATCCTTTGCCTTTAGTATCTGGCTGGACTTCCTCACCAGCAGAACCCTCCCCCTGGTTCTGCCCACACGGTGCTGTGGCCCTGAAAGAAGTTAGAGGAAGGCGAGGACTGTGTTCTGCATCTGGGAGTAGGAAAAGTATGGAAATGAATTGTCCCCCAGAGCCTCGGAAAAGGAACATAACTCTGCCAGCACTTTGATTTTAGCCCAGTGAGGCCCATGTCAGACATACCTACAGAAATGTAAGGTCAGGAGTTTATGTTGTTTCAAGCCAATAATACCATGGTAACTTGTTACACAGCAATCAGAACGTAATCTGCTACCTCCGTTCCGTACTTATAATTCAGTATAAATGTGACAGTGCATGCATTCCTAAAATCTTAATAATACATTTAGGCTAAACACAAATTTATGTCTTACAACTTAATTTCAATAAAATAGTAAATTTGTCTACTAAAATAACAAATTGAAGCCATGTCTTTTTTAAAAAGTAATAATAAAGGGTAGGATGCAGAATGAATGTGAGGGGAAAATGATTTTTCTCCTTTTAAGAATCTGATTTTAAACTGTGGGATTTGTCAAAAAAAATCTAATAACCCATTTATCCAGTAGTGTTGGCTGCAAAGGCTGAATTCTCAAAGGATTTTATAAAAACTGATTCTTTAAGTATATATAAAATGTGAGCTTTGTAATGTCAGAAAGAGCAGTCATATAAACCATTGAAAAGAGCCATCATCCAGCACCATCTCTCCATGGCTTCAGAAATCACAGTGCAGGAGGAAGGAGAATTCTTGGTTGACCCAGTTGCTCTCCTATTTACCCTCTCTATGTCCACATTAGAGTTCCTGTCTCTTAAGATAACGAGCAATCATTTCTGGAGGTTTGGAAGCTGTTAGTAACTTGTAACCCTCATCTTGTTTCTGACGGAAATAAATGTGTAGCATTTCTTTTGAATCTATCTTAAGGATCAGAATTTTCTTCTCTCAACTGATAGCATTTTCAAGCAATTTAAAAGGCTGATGACCTTAAGGAAGCAGCTTTCAGTATTACTGAGTGCTCCTCAGGGCTTCGATCGCACCTGTCTGCCCGGCAGGGTTTGTTCCTGTGTACCATCATAGCTTCTGCAGATGTCCGTTTATCTTCATTAGAAATGATTCGCATACAGTTGCTTTAAGTGGGGGAGGAGGGAAGGCATGTGAGTATAAGTTAAGATATACGTGTTGTATGAGAAAAAGAAGGAGCTAAATGTGCGTAGTTTTTAAATGGTCTTACCTCTTATATCCCTGGGAGTTACTCTTCAATGTGTACCTGAGTGTGTTTGTATCTCAGATGCATAGTAATAGGAACATAATAGGTACTTAGAATATCCGTGGAATCAAAATGTACTTTCTACTTGTCTTGTGAACATTTGATTCTCATCTGGCTTAGGATTTCCATTGCTGCAATGAAGCATCATGACCAAAAAGCAGGTCGGGAGGAAAGGGTTTATTTGGCCCATACTTCCACATTGTAGTCTATCATTGAAGAAAACAAGGACAGGAACTCAAACAGGGCAGGGACCAGGAAGCAGAAGCTGATGCAGAAGCCATGGAGGGTGCTGCTTATTGTCTTGCTTCCCATGGCTTGCTCAGCCTACTTTATTGTAGAACCCACAACCCATGCCCAGGGGTGGTCCCACCCCACAATGGGCCCTCCCACATCAATCACTAATTGAGAAAATGCCTTATAGACTTGCCCTGTAGCCTGATCTTACTGAGGCATTTTTCTCAATTGAGGTTCCCTCCTCTCCACTAACTAACTTGTATCAAGTTGGCATAAAACTAGCCAGCATACCATCAAAGAAAAAATGTTGCACTATTATCAACAGTGTATAGCCAATAAATTCTAGTAGACTTTTTATATTTGAAATTTCCTTTCTATGTTTTTGAGATCAGCTCTCTTTATGTTGTCCAGACAGACCTTGACCAGACAGTCCTGCTTCAGCCTCTCAAGTAGCTGGGAGTACAGGCATGCCCTGCTCGCCTGGCTTGAGCAGTTGTCAAGCTGTAGTTTGACTGGCGTGTGATTATAGATAGCATCGCCTTGTGTGCATGCTGAAGACGTTACCCTGCTTTGTTCTGCTGGCACTAGTTAGGCGTCTTACCTTTGCCATTTCTCTCCTACCATCTCTCGCTCCAGGAGTTTTCAACGCATTTCCTTATCTGTAATCTAAAGGAAAACGTATATTTTCATTGTTCCCAGGAAAGATACTCTTTCCTTTTTAGTTTGAAGTTTTTATTATCCTAGTTTACCAACTATCATTGTAGATCTAACCCATATATGGTTTCTACTTTATTTTAAATTTATTTCTGAAAGTTTGTATTTGGCCCTGTTTCAAGTGTGCTTAGACAATGCCTTGCTTGGTTTTTCCTTCTTCTTCTCCTCCTCCTCCTTCTCCTCCTTCTTCTATTTCTTCTTTTCTTTCTTTTTTTTTTTTTTTTTTTTTTTGTTTTGTTTTTGTTTGTTTGTTTTGGTTTTATTTTTGTTTTTGTTTTCTTTCCTGATAAGGTAATTTAAAGTACCCTTTAGATTGCCTGATACCCTGGCTTCACCTGTGGCTTAACAGTGGTGGGGTTTTAGTGTTCTTTGACTTTCTGAATTCTTTTCTCCACTGAATCACATGCCTTCTTTTGATTACGGAAGCCTTCCTGTGCTGTTTTGGCATTTGCACTTCATTGGACTCTTATTTTTACTGGTTCTTGGCCAATTTTTTAATGTTGATTTTCAGCATAGATCTTCATACCAACAGGATGTATAAAATCAGATTCTCCAACTGTCACCAGCTAGCCTTTGTTTCGTCTCTAGTGGTTCTCTCTGTCTAGAGTAAGAAGGTAGCTCCCACTTTTGTTCTGTATACCAGTTTAGGCTTGTCTGTCTTTATTTTGTAAATCGGCTGTCCTTCTTGTGTGGAGGGGAGTGCTGGGTATGGAACTAAGGCGATGCATGTTTTGCACAAGCTTTTTACTACTGAGCTGCATCTGCACCTGCTGCTGCTGCTGCTCCATGTGTCTCCAGTGTGCAGGTGTGTGTGTGTGTGTGTGTGTGTGTGTGTGTGTGTGCACAGATGTGTCTTGCCTTCCTTGGGACATCAGGATCACGAGCGTGCACTGCTGCACTCAGTCCTGAGAGTTCTGAGGTTAAACTCAGACTTTTATTATTAGTAGACGTGTGAAAACTCTCGTCAGTGCACATACGTGCCTATGTGCTAGTGCTGCAGTACTCAGAGGGCCATTTTCAGAAGCTGGTTCTCTCCTCCACGTGTCGTTTCTGGGAATCAAACTTAGGTTGTCAGGCTTTGCAGCAAGCCTCTGCCCACTAAGCCATCTAGCCAGCCCCAAATACACATCTCCACGCATGTGCAATACGCATTGTGCCAATGAAACTGTCTTCCGCCTGTTTGTTTGTTAATTTCAGGGAATTGTCAGTTCCATCCCGCGGCTCTATGCAGGCCCTGCAGGCCGTGTCCTAGATACTGACCTGTGGCCTGCTGGGCTCCCACTCATTTCTGTGTCGTATCTTTGGTTTTGGAACTGAGAAAGTTTAATTTTCTTACTTATGAACTCAAATATGTTTTTGTTATTGTGGATTTGTTCTGTTACGTTCATTTTTGGAATGGAATAGAACTTTCTACCTGGCTACACTTGCCATTGAGATTAGAAGCATAAAATATTTTTTTCCTAACCCAGTATTTTAGGTCAGTTCACACTAAACAAACTTATTTTACTTATTGTAAAATAAGTTTGGTTTTATTTATAACTTATAAACTGCAGAGACTCTCTCTGTCTCGTGTGTGTGTGTGTCTGTGTGTGTGTGTGTGTGTGTGTGTGTGTGTGTGTGTGTGTGTGTGTAGCTTGATTTTATTTGTTTTTTGAGACAGGGTTTCTCTGTGTAGCCCTGGCTATCCTGGAACTCCCTCTGTAAACCAGGCTGGCCTTGAACTCACAGAGATACTCCTGCATCTGCCTTCTGAGTGCTAGAATTAAAGGCATGTGCCATCACTGCCCGGCTGATAATATTTTTAAAATGCTGAATATTCTTCAGCCTAACAGAGGTCTTATAAAATCAGTTTCCCTTTTTGTTGCATAGTGGTTCATTTTTCTAATTTATGTGCTTGTATAAAATTAAACAAAAATTGTATCATAACTTTTACAAAAAATACAAATTAAATGTTATCTACGGGGCACCTGTATGTGTTTTAACTGAATATGTACATTGGGCACAACTCTGTGGTGTTGGTTTCCCCCACCTCTTTGTGGGTAAGGCCTGTACACAAGCTTCTCTTCCTACTGAGTGATTGCTAGTCCTGTTTTATTTCGTGAGATTGGGTCTCATTAGCTCAGGTTGGCCTGGTAGTCCTTGTGTTCTTCAGAATGGCCTTGAATGCCTGATCCTCCTAGGTCTACGTCCAAATTACTGAAATTAACAGGTATGTACAACCACACCTTGCCTAGGCAGGCCAATTTTGAACCTTCATTCATTTAATCATTGATTATTATCCTTAGGATAGTAGCTATCAGCATGTGTATCAGTAAGTACATCCACAGCCTCGACAGTAGACAATACCACATTTTTTCCGTAATCTGCCCTTTTAGAGGTCTAGGCTAAGGTCCTCCAATAGTTGCTTAGTTGACTAATGTGATGTGCTTTACTTTAAAGAGTATCTGGGGGAAAGTGTGATGTTCTTTGTCTTACTGATCTGAAACTGTTTTTTTTCAGGCTTAGTTTTTACTTCCTTTTTTACAGACATACAAAAATAAGGTGAATACACAGTCAGTGACACTTACAAAGAAAGGTCAGCCACCAAGTGATGGAAGCATATCCTCTCCTCTGTGTGTGTCCCACCCTGTAAGCCAGAAAAAGAAATATGCCTGCCGCACTAACCAAACTACTTTCATCATTGGAGAAACTCCAAAAGGAATCCGCAGGTATGTTGTCTGTGGTAACTCCAGACTTCAGGCCAATTCTCAGAAGAAGAACAACTTCACGATAAAATATATAATGTATAACCATACTTCACATCCTAATTTCGGAAAATCAGAACTTTTCTATGTAAAAAACACAAATGATTTTGAGACAGATCTCACTAAGTAGCTCAGACTGGCATGAAATTTGCTGTATATAGTTCAGGCTGGTGTTAGGGAATCTCATCCCTTAACTTACATGTTCTGGGATTACAGAGATCTGGGTTGGAGTAACATGGAAATAAGGCCATCTCCAGGGTCAGGTGAAGAAATGAGTAAACCAGGAGCTCCGTGGGAAATCCACACACAGGTATTAATGTTACCAAGAATGGCATCGAGATGGAGAGGTGGTGAGATGGGCCCATAAGCCTGGCCCACATGGCCTCTGCTTAGAGTTGGTGTCTGAGCTGCCAGTAAAGGAACAAGCAAGCCCCACCGTAACCATAGAGCTGGCGTGAGGCCACCTTGTCTTTCCTGGCAGGCTTACAACGGTGATTCTACAGGGCACACTTTTTCACTGTGTTCAGCTACTCTTCTAGAAGGCTGACTCGATTTCCCCAGTCATTATAGAAACTTGGGTCTTGGTCCCTATAACAGTGTGTGTTCTTGTAGTTGGTTGTTTTTTACTCTTTTTTGTCTTTTGGGGGCCCGCCACCCAGCCCCCAAATAAAGCCCACATGGAGACATTACTTATGAATGCCTGGCCTTAGCTTGTTTCTAGCCAGATTTTCCTAACTTAAATTATCCTATCTATCTTTTGCCTCTGGGCTTTTATTCTTTGCTTGCTTCTGTATGTCTTACTTTCCCTCTTGCTCCATGGCTGCCTGGGTGGCTGACCCCTGGAGTCCTCCTTTCTCTTGCTCCTCCCAGATTCCTCCTCCTCTTTTATTTTCTCTGCCTGCCAGCCCCTCCTATCCTTTCTCCTGTCCTGCTATTAGCTGTTCGGGTCCTAATTAGACCAATCAAGTCTTTTAGACAGGCAAAGTAACACAGCTTTACAGAGTTAAACAAATGCAACATAAAAGCATGCATCATTAAACAAATGTTCCACAGCATAAACAAATGTAACACGAATTAACATTCCACAACATCTTCTTGCTTCCTCTCATTGTTTACCCAGCCCAGAGAGGAAATGTCTTGTGCTGGATAAAGGGGTAAAGGGTAATATTAGAATACCACGACCTGCCTGGTCACCCACCCCACCCCTTCCTGGTGCCGTCGTAGTCAGCCAGAGTCAAGGCAGTATCCTCTTGTAGCGGCCACGTGATGGACTTCTTGGGCTTTCTTTCAGCATGTCTAGCCCTCAGAAAGCAAAGGCAGTGCCATGCTCATGGCAGATGTGGTCCAGCTCCTTCCCAAGAGGAGAAATGCTTTGGACTTAGCCCTCATAACTTCTGATAGACATGCTAATGCATTCCTAATTTGGTTTTTCCTTTTCTCTTTTCCTAGAGCTACTCTAGTGGTTAACTTATGTTCCTAATTAGGCCTTGCATTTTCTTTAATTCTTAGAGAAAATATTATTGAAGTCCCAGAATCAGGAAAATGAGTAGGAAAGCAAAAAAAAAAATAATAATTCCATGCAGCCATGGGCATAATTCACTCAAAGGTTCCTTGGTTAAATGGTGTTGAGGCAGCACCCTTCCCAGGGGGGCCTGCCCCAAGGTCACAGGTGAGACCATACATCGTCTCAGCACAGCGGAGAAAGTCACTGCAGCATCTGCTGAGACGTTGCCAAGTCTTGGATAAATAAAAGACATCACTTAAAACCTTCTTGATCACTAAACCTCTGTAAATATGCAGAAACATTTATTAGGTCATGGAAGTGGATTTGGAGATGAGAAATAGGCAAAATAATAATATCCAATTATTTCATTTGACACGAAAGTGGAACCGTTTAAGAACATGCTTGTGTTCCAACAAGAACATTGGCCATTTATGCCGGGCAGTGGTGGTGCACACCTTTAATCCCAGCACTTGGGAGGCAGAGGCAGGTAAATCTCTGTGAGCTTGAGACCAGCCTGGTCTACAAGAACTAGTTCCAGGACAGGGTCCAAAGCCGCAGAGAAACCCTATCTCAAGAAGAAGAAGAGGAGGAGGAGAATATTGGCCACTTGCAGGACAGAAATTGGGGAGTTTTTACTTGTGGGGTGAAATACACTGTTGTAGGTAGGTATGGCTGTTGATCAGGTGTATAATTTCTGAATTTGAAACATGAGACAAGACTCTAGTCAGCCCCAGAAGCCATGGCACTCATCTTAGGCCACCACTGCAACCACAAGAGACTGTCACCTGGCCTGGGAGGCAGAAACAAATGAGCAGGAAACCACAAAGAACAGTAGTATTTAATGCTTCTACTTACATATATTTAAAAAAAAAAAAAAAAAAAAAAAAAAAAAAAAACTGTTTTACCCTAAGAATGTGGTACGTAGGAGAAAACTTCCACTTTCTCACCTAGCCATGCAGACCCCGTGGTTGCTGGCCACTTGTGCATTTCCATCTGTTCTGCCGTGTTCAAGGTCCTCTGAGGACTGGCTTGAAGGGTCTCTGGCTCATCCTTACCTACAGGAGAGGTGACAGCAAAGAACCTCCCCTGTCCTGTCCTCCTTGCCTACCAGCAAGCACCTGGGTACCCACTGGGAACGGCAGTAGAGCTGAGCTCACCCTTTCACCATGAGACTCTGCCTTGACTGTTTTTCTTTGACTCCCTTAGCTACTGAGCTTCATTCATGAAGCACGGGACTGGCTCTTTTTTGCTATTGTACAATCTCTACAGTGCACGTTATGTCTGTGTTCACTTAGCACACAACAGGGCTCTGTAAAAGCTAGCAGAACTGTTGTGTGATGTGAAATACAGCTCAGTGCGGACTTTAACGTGTGCTGCAGGGCATGTTTGGTTTCTAACTGAAGACAAATTTATACATACGGAGCTCTCCCAATGTAGAGCCCAAACACAGCATCAGCAAAGCAACCTGCTGTCTACTTCTTAGTGGGGAACGGGATAAGGCAGGGTTTCATGATGCCCAGACTGGCCCCACACTTACCACATAGCTGAGCTAAAGATGATCAAGAACTCAATGCTCCTGCCTCCACATCCAGAGTGTTGGGATCACAAGCATATGCTACCAAGCCTGGCTCAAAACTTTTGAAACTACCCTTGTGCTATTTCCCTAATCTCTTGCCTTATGAAGACATTAATCCTATGGGATTCATGTCCTACCCGGGACCTTACTTTACTCCTTTTGCTGATGCTGTCACATTGTACTTTGGTGTAGTTTAGGGAATAGGTACAATTCAGACTTCAGACCTTTTCCTGTGGAAAGCAGCAGTCTGTGGCTCAGGGAACCTAAATAATTTTTCTACCTCCACTTTACCAGGGTTTCAGAAGGCCCATTTGTGTGTGGACTAATAGTGTGTGTACTAATAGATGCGTTCGTTAGTGTCTTTCTTTTTTGTTTGTTTATTTTCTTTGGTTTTCAGACAGTCACCCTGTGTAGCCTATACTGCCTCAGACTTCCCATCATCCTCTTGTCTCTTGAGTGCTGGGCTTACAGATATGCATCACCATCCGTGCTCAGTCAAATAGTGTCTGGCTTCCACGATGAGCTGTCTGCACTAAAACTGAGTCAATTGGGGAACAAAAACTGCACTTTTCTTCAAGCTCAACAAAAAGCCATGTGAAATTCTATACTGTGAAAGAGGGGGAAAAGGGAAATTTTTTTCTTTATTTTTTCAGTATTTTCTATTTATCAAAGCCATTCTTTAACAATATTATTCTATGGGGCTTGAATGCAATATAGATTCTCACAAATATAGATCATATAAATAATGATTCTCATGTCAGTCATAAATTGACTGGCTGGAGGAGTAGCCTGCTGGGCTCTCATAATTCCCAGGAACTACGTAATAGTATATAAATCAGTCACCTAAAAAGCTGATGATTTAATAAGCTAAAAGGCCATTTCTGGTAGCAGAAGGGAAGAGGCACATTCTCTTAGGGTGGAATTAAGCTGATGTTCCAAAGGGACAAGGGGCATTGCTTTGCCTTTTTTATGTTTCCTGTCACTGCTAACGAGCACGTTAAAAGTTCTTAACTGCATTGCAGTGCGTGAGTGCAGGCGCCTGTGCCACAGAGACTGGAGAGGCCACAGGACAACTTTCTGGACTTGGCTCTCTCCACCCTTACATGGGTTCCAGTTGAATGAAGGTCCAAACATGTACATGCTGAGCCATCTCAACAGCTTCCTGCGTAGTCTTTAAAAACAAAATGTAAATGTAATAAAAAATAATAACTATTGGCTTCATCTACCCAATTTTTAGAAAGCAGTTTGAAGAGATGGCCTCTTACTACAAGTTATCGGTGCAGGAGTTTGCTAGACAAGTAACCAGCAGCACATCTGAAGAGCGACAGAGAATGCTCAGGGACTTCTACAGCCTTCAGCACCCAGAGGTAAAGGAGTTCTTTGTGAATTCTGCTTCAGAGGTGATCAGATCTGTCCACAAGGAAGAAGATAGGGGCAAGAATAAAGAAAAAGAAAAAGAATCTCTTTTGAAAGGAAGGCCCTCAAGTGATAATACTTTGTCATGCAGTGATTCCACCAACAAAATGTCTCAAGTTTACAACCAAAAACTATGTAAAGGAAAGTCAATCAGATTTCAGAATCATGGTTCCCACGGAAAAGAGACAAAAATTACAAAACCCTCTGTCAGCTTTACTCAGGAGATTGACGGAGAGAGAAACGACCACACACCCGAGAACACCGTGACATTCTTCTGTCCAAACAGCAAGTCTGAAACCCCAAACACAGAGGTAGAAAGTCCGCTGGGACACCAGCGGAACCTCACAGGAGTATGCACTTCAAGAGACAGACCACAAGGAGAGGAAAGCCCAGTGTCAGAGCGCACTCCTGGGGAAGGCTTGCTTGGTGACACCTCTATTCTTAATGACCTCTTTAAAAGCCGTGGGGAAGGCCTCACACAGCGATCAAGGGACGTTCTTTCAGGACCCGTGGCAAAAGCAAAGCAGAGACCAAAAGATTTCTGGGACATCTTGAGTGAGCAGAACGACGACAGCCTCAGCAAACTCACTGACTTGACTGTGATAGAGACTCTGTGCACAAAAGCGCCCCGCTCCACAGCCTCCAAAAGGAAGGGCGAGCCGGAGGCTTCCCTGTGGAAAGCAAATGAGAAGTTTCTGTGGAAAACGTTTAACTCGGATGCTGATGAAAGCATGGCCAGTACTGAGAGAGAGTAGAGCGTGGCGCCATTAAGTTAGTATCTCGGTGAGCTGCCAGCCCCGCTTATGTACGTAACATCTTGAGCAGTTGTTTGCAAACTTGCTTATTAAATTATTGCTTTAGTGTTATTTTAGCATGTCATCATGGGTTTTCTCTCCTTAATATATATTTTAGTCATTAATGCCCAATTTTACAGTCCTGGAGGTCAAGCCCTCCTCTACATGAGCAAGCACTCAGCTAGCTCAGCTATGTGTCCTGCCCCATTCAATCCTTTAACACAAGTGATTATGTCATATTATAAGCCCCTGTTACATGTATGATTCCGTGGCCTCTCATGAGTGACTTGCGCTGTGTTTGCCCACTCCTCATAGGAAAGGTACAGGATTGCGCCAGATTAGCATAACCTTCCAGAATGTCCCAAATCAAGTGACAGACGCTGCACTGTTCACTGGCATCGGGAAGTTACTGCTTTCCTTCTCCCTTGGAATTGCGTTCTACAGTGATGAATTATTTTAGATAAAACTTGTAATTAGGAATGACTATATGATATTATGTTAAAATGGTGACTTTATAACCGCCCGGAGTCGCCTATACGTTTTGTGATGCTAAAGTAATGTGATTGTTACCCTTGGCCAGAGTACCAAAGCCTTAACCTTTCACACTACTTTGACTTAGTAAATATAAAGATTTGTATTTTAACAGTATTTCTTAAGTGGAAGGAAATGAATAGACCGTTTGATTTTAATTGAATCCTCTTTCATTGAATTTAATATATGTGGTTTACACACTCTGAAATGTGCTGGTTGTTGGATTTATTTACTTAGTGGCATTTTCTCAGCTGCTGTGGCCTGTGATAGGTGCTTGACTGTGTAGGCGACAGCCTCAGGTTGCAGTCTGTAAAGCATCACATCTGTATAGCCCCTGGCATTGTGACCGGCGCATTGAACCTGTCCACTCGGCTAAGCTTGCAGGGCTGGTGAAGAAAGCAGCAGGCTCTCCAGATTCACACACACACACACACACACACACACTCTGGAGGATTTTAAAAATTCTCTTCCTACCTCGGTCTGTTATCATAGGAGCCTCATGAACCTGTTACAGTGTTGGAACACGGTATTTGAGGTAACTTGAATCCGTATTCCATGCCCATGGCCATTCATACTTGGCTGGGGTGGGGGCGGGCAGAAACCAGTCCCCAGTGAAGGCTGCACTCCCGACAGAAGAAGCAAGCTCCCAAAGGCTTCTCTAGTCCCTGGTGGCCTCTAGCCCCACTCCACTCCCCAGGGAGAGGGGAGGGGGCCTTTTAATAGAGGAGCAGGGTTTGCATTAGTCAGACTGAGAACCGTTAACAGTTTAACATCGTGGATATTTGGTGGACACCCAGGTCGCCCGGTGTCCTGCGACTCAGAAAGTGGCTGACCTTCCCAGGCTGGGCAAGGCGCAACTCCTGGCCTTTTCCTTTTCTGGACGACAGCCAAGGAGCCTGGCCCCACCCTTCGGGCAAACTGCACACCCTGTGGACCCCAAATGAATACTTCTGTGTACTTCCGGCAGCTAGTAACTTCCGCAAAGGGGGCCCACAAAGCCCGAGCGGCGGTCTACACAGACACACAACACACGCGGGCGTGTCAGGAAAGAAACTGCCCTAAAAGAGAAGAAATGCTAAAAGAATTAGGCTCTGGAGGCAACGATGGAAAACTCCAGAGCTCAAGCCAGAGGGGGGCGCGTTATCTACCACCAACCACAAGCTGGGCCAGCATCTCGCATCCCTCAGAGGGAAGCCGTGGATGGTCCAGCTTTGGAGGTGCAGGGAGTTTGAAGAGCCGGAGCTTCAAAGCGGGGGACGCTGCACGTCTGCGATCCTGTGGGGTCCCCATAGTATCCTGGCAGGAGGGTGGGGATAGTCACCTAGTACGGGTGGAGGGTCCAATGGAGATGTGGGCAGCCATGAGGCGGGAGCAGGTGGGGACCCCCGCGGGTCGCAGCTCGGTGCAGCGGGCTGGATGAGTGGACCTCAGGCAGAGAGGTCCCGCCCCCTGGAGGCCGGAGGCGCTGGTTTCCGCTGTCTAAATCCCTCAACTGGTCCCGGTACGGTGCGTTGAGTCTTGGGGGAGTCGCCGGGCAGAGGCGCCCCCTCTCTGCAAGCACCTAGTCAGAGCTGCAGAGCGAGGAAAAAGTGGGAAGGAAGCTGGCAGGATGGAGCTGGCCCATTCCAGGCGCAGCGTTAGTAAGCGCACTGGGGACTCGGCCAGGCACGCCCCGCAAACACTCGGCAGGCTCGCCCAGGAGGAAATCAGACTTAGCACCTTGGCTGCTCCACCTAGATTCCCCGGCCAGATGCCCCGGGAAGCGACCCCCCACGTCCAGAAGCACTCCCCAGCCTGTGCACGCCCTGCGCTGGCTGGGCCTCCAGTCCTGGGCCACACACCCCCTAGGACAAGCCCTGCCGGTGCCTTCCCTGCCCTCCCACCCTCATGCTCCCCTCAAAGCCAGCGCCTTCTGCCAAGCCTCCATTCCCAACCTGTTATCACGTCCTGGAGAGAATGTCTCTGAAATATTTCCTGAATCCCACTGCCAAGAACCTCGAGTTTCCGTCCCTCCACCTCCCATCTGGATGCCTGCAGACTTCTCCCTGGGTTCCCAGGCCTCAGCCTCCTCCCTCTCTAATCCATTTTCCACACCACATCCCCAAAGCCTGTTGAAACACAGGGACCTCGGCTGTAGTAAACCTCTCATTTCCTCTGTTAGGGGGGGTTAAAGGGATTCGGCTGAGGAATAACTACATCAGTTCACATTTATTGAGTATTTACTGTGTTGTGTGTTTAACATCTCAAGCGATTTGCACGTTTAATCTGCCCAGCAGCTCTCCTGGGCAGGTGTTACCTGTTTCATTGAGGAAGAAACTGAGGCACGGAAACCACACAGCCCTGCATTCTGCATCGGCAACAGCTGCTCCAACTATGTTTCTCCCCTACCTGAGGTTCTCCTGGAAGCGCCACCATCCTGAGTGGAAGGAGCTGCAACAGGGAGCTATGCCCCCGGGAACAGACGGACTCTGGGTCTGGTCACTGGGTGGGTCAGGCAGGTGAAGTCAGGCTAGAACCACCACCACCACTCCAGCCCTGGAGTGCACGCCCCTCCCCCCCACGCCATTACATTGTTCTTGATTGGCAGTGTCCAGCAGACACAAGACAGACCTAGACCTTCCTTCCAACACAAGCTCTTCAGATCCCTCGATATCCCTGTGCTCTTGTATCTCTGTCTGCCAGTCTCTGGCCATGCCCTTTGCTTGCACAGGAGCCCTATGTTCCAGTGTTCTGGGAGGGGTGGGCCTGTGTAAATTGTGAGTGACAAATCTACAATCAACAGTGGCCTTTCCAGCCTTACCCACACACACACACACACACACACACACACACACACACACACACACACCCTCCCCCCCAAAAAATGATATTACTGGGTTCCTGACCCTGTTTTTCTGCCTAGGAGTTAACAAGGATTCTATACTCAGCCTGTCCCTCACCCCTCCCCTATGTCCTGGAGCAAAGACTCTGGGGTAACAGTGAGGAGACCTTGATTTGCTAGCTGAATGTGTCTACTTCTGTGCACCTACCTATTGCATGTGATACTTCATGCTTGGGTGTAACACGAAAAATAAAAAAGACCCAGAGACTGATATTAGGGTTCAAGCTGAAGATCAGAAAAGCAAATCAGCCAACACTAGCTCTCACTCTACCTCAGATTGAGAGGAGATCCTGGCTCCACCAAACCTCAGATTGTAACTTCTCCTCAGCATGGCTGGAGAATTCTGAGATTGCAATATCTTCCTATCCTCAATGTGGCTGCAGAATGAATCCTGACACTGAGTACTGAAGACCCTGCTTCTGTCTTTTATCCCCTTAGTGCTGGGATTAAAGGCGTGTGATTCCAGGTGCTGAGATCATCTTTGTGTGAGCTGTCTCTCTTTAGACCTGGATCAGTTGTGTGTAGATCTGGGTGGCCTTGCGCTCACAGAGATCCATCTGTCTCTTAATCCTGAGTCCTAGGATTAAAGGCGTGCACCACCACCTCCTAGTTTTGCTGGGATTAAAGGTGTGCATCACCACTGCCTGATCTCTATAGCTTGAGGCTGGCTTTGCTTGTCTGAATCCTCAGGCAAGCTTTAATAAATCATAAACATCACCACACCTGGGCTTGCATATGTGACTATTAGCAGCTTTCTGAAATTTTAATTCTTTTTCCTGTATAGATCCATAATAGGACAAAGACTTAGTTTCCTTAAGGGGGCAAGGGCTATGTCACCCTGACCTTCCTCACCATTCGTAGTTTTTAATGAGAGGATCTCATGTATCCCAGGTTGGCCTCAAACTCACTAAGTGAGAATGACCTTGAACTCTTGGCCTTCAAGTCATTAGAGGTTATTGGATTGTTAGGATAAAGCTGGAGGGGACCCTTGTCCCAAGAGAGAGGGGGAGGAGAGGGGAGGGGAGGGGAAAAGAGGAGAGGAGAGGAGAGGGAGACAATAAAAGTCCTGTCTGCCCCAGGGGAACAGCAGGAAAGAGAGCATAAGAGGGTCTGATTTGTAAAGGGGTCCTTTGCACTTGTGTGCAGACTATGAACTCATGGAACCCTGGGCTGACCAGGGCGCTCCCTGAATGCATTCTGCCAGGTGACAAGGGCGGGTCAGCATAGTGCCCGACTCCTTATAACCATGTCCAGCTAATCAGTGGGGCTCTCTCAGGAAAGGGCCACAAGGTTATTCGCTTGCTTTCCCGTCAACTATGTTCTCAGTGCTTTCTGTGGTAAACCTCCGATACATGCCAAAAAACACGGTGCTGTTTCAGAATGGGGCGTTGAGCCTCGCCCCACCCCTGGCACTGTTCGCCTTTCTACTTGCCCAGCAACCAGCCTGCCCCTGTCTCCTGGCGGAATGCACTCAGGCAGCGCCCTGGTCAGCCCAGGGTTCCATGACTACACAGTCTGCAAGCAGATGCAAAGGACCCCTCCTGCCCACTTATCCCCCCCCCCCATCCTCTTTCCTGCTGTTCCCCTGGGGCAGACAGGACTTTTCCTGTCTCCCTCTTCTCTTCTGTCCTCTCTGTGTCTCGTTACCTCTTTTCTCTTTCCTTCTCCTCCCTTCCCTTTCTAATAAAACTTCCCACTTAAGCTCTGTCTGCCCCTCCGCCTGGGGACGCCCTTGCCTGCCATGGAATCCACCAAGGTTCCCCACTCAGGGTCCCCCTCGAGCTTTATCATACATCATCTAGCCATAACTCAAGGCTGCCTTGGATGTGGGCAATACTGGGAGGAACGACAGGCCTGTGGTTTGATGGGAAAAGGGAGAACTTAGCTTTGAGAGCTGCAAGGTTACTGGATGTCTGCTTACAACTCTGTCCCGGGAAAGGGGGCTGTGTGCCTGGGAAAGAGAGAGTTGCGGTAAGGTCTGTAATCTAGCGTTCTATAGGGTCCTGTCCTGATATCTCATGTTCGCGAGTGCCTGTGGGAAATGGCTTGATCCCAGGCTCACCTTAGTCCCTTGGCTGATCTGGGGTGCCTCATGCTCAGTGTGTCTGGAGGTCTGGAGCAGATATCTTCATCATCGGGTCAGCACCTCCTCCTCCTTCCTTAACTCAGGGAGAGAAGCTTCTGTCCTTGACCAGATTACCAAATCTGAGCACCATATATATATATATATATATATATATATATATATATATATATATATATATTAATTTGGTTGTATCCATTTTTCTCACCAGTGACTCTTCTCAGGAAGCTAGTCAGTCCTTGGA